CGAAGTCTATTGTGCCCTGTTCTAAGGCGAAGGATAATAACTTGCTCTGGTCTGTCCATAATATGGTAATCATCTTGTGCCAGTTTCGGTGGCATTCTGATTGATTTGATCATTCTCTTCTTCTGTTGATAAGAGACTGGTATGTCAGGTTGTTCTTCAGTTGCACCTTCCTTAGCTAGTTTATCAGCTTTTTCGTTTCCGGGAACTCCACAGTGGGAAGGTATCCACTGCATTACTAATTTACAGCGGTTGCCTAGTTCGGATAATAGTGTCCGTATGCTTGGTAATTTTCCAGACTGGAGTGACTGAAGTACTGCTTTTGCATCTGTCAGGAATACCACTGGTTGTGAAAAATACCCTGTATTTAGTAGTTTCTCTACCGCTATCTTGATGGCTTAAACTTCTGCATCATAGTTGTGACAGTGCTTTCCCGTTGGTAATTTGGCTGTATCCCTGGTATTATTAGGATACTCAATGTACACTCCCGCACCTCCGTTTCTGACTGCGCTTTCTGCTGACCCATCTGTGTAAACACGGACACAAAGGTTCTGCGGGTATTCATCATCAAGTAAACTGAGGGTGGCTGTTTTGCGCTGCACACTGTTTTGTTCTTCCTTGTCAAATACCCCTTTCACTTCAGTCTTGATGTGGTTCTGTTGTAGTTTACATCTACGCTGTGATATCTATTTCGTTTGGTCCAACTCATATAATTTCAGAAAATCCATAATTAGTTGATTTTTATGACATGCTTGTTAAGGGTGAGCAGTAATTCAAAAGCCACACACCCCCTAAAAAATGGGGTCCCCTGAACCCACACGAGGAAAGCCAGACATCAGACTCGCAGGCAGGCAAGTGTGCTAGCCACTATTTGCCCCTCCCCCTTTAGCTCAAATGAGAATACTTATCTTTCCATGGTTTTGCTGCTAGACACTCACCTGTGGATCAGAAGGTCGTGTGTTCGGGTCCTGATGGATGGAGCCAGACTTTTTTGTTGACACATCCTAAAATGGATACAGTCCTGGGAAGTAAAGGAGGCTGACATGATGTTGACCATCATCACACATTGAGTGCTGATTGATCTACAATATATAGGTCTAGCCCTATATGCCCTATACGCTTGAAGGTGTGGAAAAGGGTCCTTTACTTTTATTTTACTTTACTAACACAGTTTCAGAATACATGGGTAAGAAAGCTTGTAAGTAAAGTAAAGTTCCTTTTTCACGCCTTTCAGCGCATCGGGCATATGGGCATAGCGTCCCATATTTTTACAGACCATCAGCACTCTGTGGGTAATGTGGTCAGCATTACGCCGGCTGTCTTTACTTTCCCAGGACAGCCCATCCTGGTACCCATTTTAGGCTGGGTCGACCTGCGACGTCCCATACCACGACAAAAATCCACGCAGCCTGCAGTGGGTTTCGATCGCGGTATGCTGGCTTCTGAGTTGGACTCGCAACGCCTTATCCACGGACGCTGCAAGAAAGCTTGTACCACTCACATATTAATATACAACAAATATTGCACCCTTTAGGTATTCAAGACACGCAACTAAAATTTTCCCATTTTCATATTTCGACATATAGTGTTCTATTTACACATTGTAATATTATACTAATATTTTTAACACGTTTTAACATTGTAACATGTACACATTCCCATAAGCAACAAAGACTGTGTTGTTTATACATTCACACATGTAACAAATATTATGTCATTATCAAATTTCAACAGAAACCAAACATGTGCCATTTACACATTTTAACATTCAATAAACATTGTATCATTCATTTACATATTAACATGTTCAGCAACATTTTTGCTACCAACTAGACCAGCGGTTCTTAACCTGTGGGTCGCAATCCTTTTGTGTGCCAAACGACCCTTTCACAGAGGTCACCAAAGACCCGTCAGAAAACACATATTTACTGAAGTTATAAAGTGGCAACGGAAATAACTGTATGGCTCAGGGTCGCCACAACATGAATTTATGACAGAATCGATGCATTAGGAAGGTTGAGAACCACTGAACTAGACAGTCCAACAATTAAATAATGAGAAATTTTATTACAGCTGAAACAAAAACACAATACATGAAGCAAATCATATCACCCAAACAGGCAACATTCATCTATGATTTGGCATAGTTGTAATGACGCCCAGTCAGCAGATGACAAGAAACTGACCAGTTTGTTTAGCTAGTGAAAGTAGTGTAGTTACATATGCAGTTAAAAGCCAAGGGTGAGCATTCTGTTTCAAACTTAGTGAAGTGTTTTTGAGACAGAAAAATTGATACGATAAGTTTACGAGCATCAATATTTATTTCATGTATAAGGTGGTATTCACAATTTAAAACTGGCCTGGAAAAGACTAATGACGATGTCAGATTTCTGTTTGTAATGAATGATAAACTCATGGCCAGAGTCAGAGAACAGACATATGAAGACCAAGTCTGCTGTCTGACTGTGAGGATGATGGCACATGAATATGATGTTGAATCTGATAAATACTGATCCTCACAAACTTATCTTATCAAGGAACTGTTCCAAGAGCACTTTTCCGAGTTTGAAACAGAATTAATCAACACTCTTGGTTCCATGCTGCATAAGTTACACATGGTAGGTATTTTAGGCTGGGTCAACCTAGCAGCCAAGGTCAGTAATAATAAATCTTTACATTCTTATGCAGATTCTAAACCAAGATCTTTTGGGTCAGTAGGTATATGTTTTGACCACTGTACACCGAGGATTAGTAGTTTGCAGACAGTGAGCAAAATCTCGGCCGGCCCACTCTTTCATGTTATCGGTCTAAGATTTCCTTTACTTGTTTCTTTATTGCTTCCACCAGTAGTACACAAAAGAGCCCTTGAACATCAAACCTTTGCATCATATGTGTTCTATGTTAATTGTTTTTTTCCTTACAACCCTGGTCATCTGGGTTCATTTGGTTAAAGACCTGACATCACAGCATTCTGGACAAACCCATATTAGCTTGTTTCTTTATTGCTTCCACCAGTTGTTCACAAGATAGCCCTTGAACATCAAACCTTTACATCATATGTGTTCTATGTTAGTTGTTTTTTTCCTTACAACCCTGGTCATCTAGGTTCATTTGGTTAAAGACCTGACATCACAGCATTCTGGACAAACCCATATTAGCTTTGTCTCCCTCATCAACAGCCGCAAAGAGTCTCCATTCTGATGCTGCCTGTTGTCATCTGATTAACTGCTTATTTTTCCTCTCCCCCATAACTTGAGTAACGCCCAGAGCTTGCAGACACTTCTTGATGCATCATTTTCTTCGGGTATGAATTACCAATAAAAGGTCCTAGTCAATCCTGAGTGAAATGGGTACTAGGAAATGTCCAGGGAAATAAAAGAGTCAGTGTGATATTGATCACATTACCCATTGAGTATTTGTTGGACTATAAATACATGTCTTGCAGCAAATGGCTGAGGAGCCACTTACATGAAAAGGGTCCTGGATATCCTTTATAGCAGTGATCTCTAACTTTTTTGAGGTCGCGCCTCTCTTGAGTATATGGCAAGATACCCATACCCCCTTGAACATATGGCAAGAATGTGTTCATAATCTATAATTAAATGGGGGTGTTAAAATATTAATTCAATTTTTTTTCTTACTTCAGATGTAGAAACTGCTAATGAAAACAAATTTGTCCTTGTCATTTTGTTCAATAAATAGTTTTAAAATATATTTTATTTATAATTAAACTAAAACAAAATGTAAGTACTTGTATAACAAGTACATTTGCTCTATCTTTCAAAACTGCTTGACGCCCCTCTTGAAACCTCTTCATGTCCCCTTAAAACCTCCTCTCACTCCCCTTGAAATCTACTTGTGCCCTGCCACCCCTCCCGAAACCCAATAAAACCTCCTAGCTACCCCTTTGAAATCTCCTTGAGTCCCCTTGAAACTTCCTCCTGCCCTGCTCTTGAAAACCCTCTCATGCTCTGCCCTTAAAAGCTCCTTGCACCCCCCCCCCCCCCCCCACCACATCACGCTCCCCTTAAAACCTCCCTGAAGCCTCCTAGCACGCCCCTAGGTATGAAACCACTGCTTTAGAGGTTGCAGAAACCTATCCTAGGATCTGTGATTTTACGTGATTTTTTCTGTGCAATTTTACGTTGAAAGGTTTATCATTACTTTCTGAATGTTCCAAGATCTTGTCAAAGTCAATACAAATCATTCTGTTTACATGCACCCGCGCCAACATGCACACATATGAGAGTGTGGTTGTATGTTTTGTTCTTAAAACTGCATTGTGTATATTCTATGTATAAAGTACTAATGTTTTGTCATACACAAAATGTTTATATTTTTTTTCATAAACTTATATATTCTCTTACAAAAACACAAATTTATAATACATACATCCCAACACACTGAAAAACCATTTAACATTAAAACAAAAGAACTCTTATCTGCATCAAAATCTTATGAACTCAGTGTGAGAAGGTGAAGAAATAGCAGTATCACATGACTCAATAATCCTTAAAAACTCCTAATTAGTCTACTTTTATGATATGTTTGTTGTTGGGAGGGGGAGACAAGGCAGTGGGTCTATCCTAACCCCCCCCCCCCCCCCCCATCCCACTCCCCCCCTCACCCCATCTCCCCTTTCCCTAGGACCTCAAAACCCACATGAAAAAAGAAAAAGAAAACTCAACTATTTCATTGCCAGAAAAACTAGCTGGCAAATTTCCAAAATGCAACCACCATAAAAAGTCATTATCTTTTACTTTCAAAGAAGAGTGAAAGCGGCCACTGGCAAAACCAGATTTACACAGTGCTCTGACCAAACGGTAAAATATTAGAGACCATATGACTGTGGCAAGGATTTGCTGAATCAGCCAATCACACATCATGTAACGACTGGGACTGGAAAAAGTAAATGAAACACAATGAAAAACGCACTTGTATTTACTACTGACCAAATTATTTCTATAACTTCTCCAAACAAACAGCAATGACTGCAACAGATGTCATGTGACTGAGTTTTCTGTGAGGTACTCCACGAAGGCAGCTCTGAACATGGCCTCGGTGTCCTGCCTCTCGTGATTGGTTACGGCAAACAGTGTCGCCCAATCATTGAGCTGTTTATAATACATCTTCTTCTCTTGAATGGACATGTGTGGGGATGCTAGGCTGGCGTGTAGAAGGCTTTTCACACTGGTTCTCACACTAGGAAATGGGACCTATTTGAGTAGAAGAAAAGTTACAAACATTTCATTTTAGTACTGGTGCAATCTTTGTTGCACATTGAAAAGTGTAAATTACATAATATGTGTTGCACATATGACTGTGTGCATGCTACATTTTGCAGTGCTGACATCTGCAAATAGTAAAAAAACAATAAAGGACCAGTATTGAAACCTACAAATAGTAAATAAATAGTAAGGGAGCAGCATGGAAATCTACAAATAGTAAATAAACAGTCAAGGAGCAGTGTTGAAATCTACAAATAGTAAATAAACAGTCAAGGAGCAGTGTTGAAATCTACAAATAGTAAATAAACAGTCAAGGAGCAGTGTTGAAATCTACAAATAGTAAATAAACAATCAAGGAGCAGTGTTGAAATCTACAAATAGTAAATAAACAGTCAAGGTGCAGCGTGGAAATCTACAAATAGTAAATAAACAGTCAAGGAGCAGTGTTGAAATCTACAAATAGTAAATAAACAGTAAAGGTGCAGCATGGAAATCTACAAATAGTAAATAAACAGTAAAGGTGCAGCATGGAAATCTACAAATAGTAAAAAAACAGTCAAGGAGCAGTGTTGAAATCTACAGATAGTAAATAAACAGTAAAGGTGCAGTGTTGAAATCTACAAATAGTAAATAAACAGTAAAGGTGCAGCATGAAAATCTACAAATAGTAAATAAACAGTCAAGGAGCAGTGTTGAAATCTACAAATAGTAAATAAACAGTAAAGGTGCAGTGTTGAAATCTACAAATAGTAAATAAACAGTAAAGGTGCAGCATGAAAATCTACAAATAGTAAATAAACAGTCAAGGAGTAGTGTTGAAATCTACAAATAGTAAATAAACAATAAAGGTGCAGCATGGAAATCTACAAATAGTAAATAAACAGTAAAAGTGCAGCATGGAAATCTACAAATAGTAAATAAACAGTAAAAGTGCAGCATGAAAATCTACAAATAGTAAATAAACAGTAAATGAGTAGCATGGAAATCTGCAAATAGTAAATAAACAAAAATGGACCAGCACTGAAATCTATTTAAAAATGTAAAGAACCAGTTTCAAAATCTGGCATATAATGCTAGTTTCATGCTTTTATAGATCTTTTGGTGTTCACTGGCTGATATGGTCAACATAACGCCAACCACCTTTACTTCCCAGGATTTTACCTGGTACATTTTTCAGCTGAGTTCACATAGGAGATAAAGTCATAAAAAAAAAAAGAAATAAAAATCTTCAAATGTTTTAATATGGTAAAACTTTATAGGCTGGCATGATGCAATTGAGTTCTTGGAGCCTGGGGATTTAGAGGCTGCATGCAAAAAAGACCTATCATGAATATGCCAGGAATTGTGGCTGGTGGTCATAACATAAAGCTACGTTACGCAAATTACATCGTTGTGATAGCGACAAGTAAGAAAAAACTACTGATGTAATGGTAATTTCACAGAAAAGAACAGTGCCTAAGTGTTTAAGAAAGGTCAAAGGTATTATTTCAAGACGCGTACAGAAATCTAAGTAGCAAAGCATATGGATAACATCTGATGGAAGATGCATTATAGAGATAAAGAACAAAATATAACAGGCTAAAACTGCATTTTATAAAAATGAAGAAGATTTTATGCAGTTAATCCATGTCACTGGAGGTTAGAAAAAAGCATTTTTGCATGCTATATAGAGCTAATTTTAACATATGGCTATAATTCCTGAACTATTAATGAACAAACCGATCGATTTCTTAAGGCCTCGGAAATGTGTTATTACAGAAGAATTCTCATAATTCTTGGACAACCAAAAAGAGCTGTGAGATGTTTTGAAAGAAATTCAAAGATAACTTATGACAAACATCAGAAAGAGGCAGTCATCATTTTTAGTCATATTATGATAAGAAGGAAACTGGCCAAAAAAAGACCTGTGGAAAAAAAGGCAGAGGAAGACAATATGAGAAGATAGTTGACTTTTATCATGACAGGGAATGGGTGTCAACACACAGACTAATACATGTTGTTGAAGATCACAGATTGTTCTTGTTCTTCTTCTTGTTCTTCTTTATTTCCTCTTTTATTGCTTTGGGTGTCGTGGGAGATAAAAGGTTCTGCTTCTTGCTATTTTGGCCACCTCAACCATAGAAACATCACACTTTTGTAGATTTATCTTTCCATCTTGTTCTTGGTCTACCTCATAATTGTTATTCATCTCCACTTTTGGATTATGTCTTGTATTGTACAGTATCAGAAGGCATTCTCTCCAAGTGGGCAAACAATTTGATTTATTGTCTTTGTATGTTATTTAGATTTGGTTTTGTGCTGACTTATTATCTTATGACCTCATTTTCCTGATTTTAACTCTAGGTCACTACTGCAACTCTTCCCACACACCTTATTTCCATGGTAAGAATATTCTTTCCTGGTTTGTTGTGACTGACCATGTCTGGCACTTACAGAACTGAGTTGGAATCAATATGCCATGTCAGTCCTAAAAGTGTAAAAAGCAAACTTACCTGAGATACATCAGGCACTCTCTTCAGCTCCTGGGAGATGCTCTCTTCTTCCTGATTCAACAAGGCTAGGGTCACATAGGGCATGCTGTACTTAATGTCAACGGGCAGTTCATCCCATTCTAGGGGTATGACACTACCATCAGGTGCTAGTCTGGTGACCTGACATGCCGATCTGATGCTGTCTGTGACTGAATGATTACATGTCTGTTTCCCATCCATCCACAACACCTGAAGAGGGGAGATTGACATATTTTGAATATATAGCAGCAAAGTATTTCAGGATCCTTGCCGGTGCTATGGAGTTCATGCACTTCTGTCCAGTACTTGACCAACCATAGCAACCGCAGAAGACTGTTGATGGTGCCATCGAAAGTGGAACTCTGATCTTGCTGATGAAGATGAGGACAGAGAGCTTATGGGAATGTTCTGCGTGCTATGATGTTGACTCTTAACTGAACAAAATAACAAAAACATCAGATTGCTAGTTTAGGGCTCCACTTCTGAAAGAAATAAATTGCCAACTGCAACTTAACAAGCATGTCCTAAACAGAACAAATCAGGAGTGTGCAGAAACTGGTTGTTTTGGATGGAAAGACGCAGATATCAGAGTCTGCCTGTAAATGAGAACGTAATATTGCTCCAACCACTCTATGTAAGGGTAAAAGCAGAAGAATAATTGGTATTAATGCGACTCTGACAGCAGCAACAAACAACAACAACAATACTACTGCTGCTACTAATACTGCGATTACTTCTATAATTCAATATATATCCCTCAGTTTCATCCTTGTCTTGACTGGATGAAAATGGCCTATTTCTTGATCAGATTTTAAAATTTTTCACAAAATTTTGAGATCAGTGAGAATTTTGATCACATTAAATAAATATTAAAAAAAAAGATTTTGTTGTTTTGTTACCAAAATAAAACGAAAACAAAGAACAATAGTCTCATTACTATGTATCAAACATGTCATAAAAGGCTGCCAATTAGGAGTCTGCTAAAATCAGATGTGTTGGGTCTAAAAGTGCAAAGAACACAGTCTAGCTTTAAATTGTAACACAATGTGCCAACTGCTCCTTTGAGGGACAAAATGACAAAAAAATGTACTTTTATTGTACACTCTACTGATGATCACAATACCATAATATTCCTAGGGACATATTCTTTTGCTTATCTCATCTAATAAATTGACAAGGAAGTCTTGTTCACTTACCTTTCTTGACTTCTGGAATGTAACAGGCTCACTAACTTGATGCCCAAGAAGATCTGGTTCAATACTGAGTGGAACTGAGTGTTCTGGTCTAGCTGAAGTATCTGAACGTATCTCATATGGAGCACAACTGCCTGAAAAGCTCATCTTTCCTCTGTTCTGTAAATCACTTTCTCCATGGATTTGTGTCTGTAGGTTAGCAGGCTCCAGATTAGAAGCCCTGGGAAATTTAATGCTGCTTTCACAGAGCATACTGAGTGGGACAGTACTTAAACTTTCAGAAGCTTGACCTGACACAGCTGATAAAGAAGCTGGCAGAAGAGAACTCTTATTGACGCCTCCATCTTCTGCCAGGTCACTGTTTATTTGCTGCTGGGGTGTAGGGTTTGTTTCTTTGCCAGGCTGTCCTTTGGCACTGCAGTCTTGGCTGTTGTGACTGATTGATGGCTCATGAAGCAAATGCTGAGATATGGAATAATGTATGTAACCTAAAGCTTTGATCAGGGCTTCTCTTTTAGCTTGGGCGTCCCAGAGAATTCCTTTCGACAGTCGAAGTAGGTTCACATAATTCAAATGTCCTTTGCTAACAATCCCCTGGACTGGTGTTATTACTTTGTCCGTTTCAGACAGAGATTTGGGGGTGCATCTCTGGACATCTTTTGCTAAGTTTGTTGTATTTTTCATACATGAATTTGTTGTATTTTTCAATGGTGAGCACAGTGGTGAGTTTGATGGAGAAAGAGTTGAAGGTGAGGTTGACGAAACTGAGAACGAGAGTAGAGAATTGACTGGCCATGATGAGGATGATGCTGGCGATGCTGAAGATGATGACACTGAGGGTGGGGATACAGATGTGGGTGAACAAGATGGCGGTGAGAAAGATAAAGGTGAATTTGAAGGAGACAGGAATAATGGTGAGTATGATGGCCAGGACAAAGAAGGTTTTAAGTCTGATGGTGGTGTCAGAAATGATTTTAAGCTGGATGGACTGTGATGATAAATTATGTTTTTTAAAGATGTATTCTTAAGGAAAGGCAGTCTAGATGGCACAAATAATGTATCTACAGGGTCATACTCAGGGGAGGTCACTGAAACTGTTGACAAGGGAGAGTAGCATTCCAAAGATGGCTGACCTAACATAGGTCTAAAATCATGAAACTGTAGTGGTAGAATTGTATTTTGGGAATCGGCTGCAGTAGCAATATCTGCACTGTCCTTCTGTGTAAACTGTTGGCCATTTTCTTTACCCTTGAGGCCATAAATTGTCTGGCAGGAATCAACATTACTTGTTTTATTTTGACTTTGAGATTGTAGTGTCACTGAAGAATTATTAGAAAGGCCAAACAGGCCATTCTGACAAACATGTGATAAATTCCATGTAGTGTTATTGAAGGGATTATCACTTTTTGCTGTCTGAATGTTCACTTTTGGAGATCCAGGATAAGATACTGTTTTAACCTTTTCACTGCAAATTCTGCTTGTACTGTTGCCTTTGTTGATTTCATTATTCTGGTTAAAATTAATCTCAGCCAAATTCTGATTATCCACAGGGAAGTTACCACTTGGCATGCCATCATGACTATCATTGTCGTGCTGGGAAACCAAAAACTTATCAGTCAAAAAATCTAGAATTGCCAGGTAGTAATATGCTCTCAAACAGTCGAGGTCTCGGCATCTGGAGCTTGACATAGAGATTTCCCTGTCATCTTTAATGTCAGTGAGAAACTTCTTGATCGTGTTGTGGCTTTCACCTCCAGCCTTGCTAATGTCCCCGTGGCTCTCCATGGTAATTAATACACGAGAAGCATTAAACTCCTGCTGGAGCTTCAGAAGGTACTTTGGACCTGTAGACATGAAAACAAACCGACATTAATCACAGTATGTTGTAAAGCTAGTTGTGTGCCCTTTTCAGGACATTGGGGGAGCGGGGGCGCTGCGTGGTCTCGAGGCATGGTGTCTGCCTCGAGTGCTAGAGGTTCCAGATTCAATCCCCGATAAGGAGCTGGGATTTCTTCACGTGGACTTGGGCTTCTAGTAATTCCCCCTGGTCTCTGGGTAGTGAGATCGAGTACAAAACAGTGACTAATTATTGACAGAGTACAAAAATCAGTGGCAGCTGGACAGAGTACAAAACAGTGACTAATTGTTGACAGAGTACAAAACGTGTCACAATTATTGACAGAGTACAAAACAGTTTAATTATTGACAGAGTACAAAACAGTGACTAATTATCAAAACAGTGACTAATTATTGACAGAGTACAAAACAGTGACTAATTATTGACAGAGTACAAAACAGTGTCACAATTATTGACAGAGTACAAAACAGTGTCACAATTATTGACAGAGTACAAAACAGTGACTAATTATTGACAGAGTACAAAACAGTGACTAATTATTGACAGAGTAGAAAACAGTGACTAATTATTGACAGAGTACAAAACAGTGTCACAATTATTGACAGAGTACAAAACAGTGTCACAATTATTGACAGAGTACAAAACAGTGACTAATTATTGACAGAGTACAAAACAGTGACTAATTATTGACAGAGTACAAAACAGTGTCACAATTATTGACAGAGTACAAAACAGTGACTAATTATTGACAGAGTACAAAACAGTGACTAATTATTGACAGAGTACAAAACAGTGACTAATTATTGACAGAGTACAAAACAGTGTCACAATTATTGACAGAGTACAAAACAGTGACTAATTATTGACAGAGTACAAAACAGTGACTAATTATTGACAGAGTACAAATGTCACAATTATTGACAGAGTACAAAACAGTGACTAATTATTGACAGAGTACAAAACAGTGACTAATTATTGACAGAGTACAAAAAACAGTGACTAATATTGACAGAGTACAAAACAGTGACTAATTATTGACAGAGTACAAAACAGTGTCACAATTATTGACAGAGTACAAAACAGTGACTAATTATTGACAGAGTACAAAACAGTGACTAATTATTGACAGAGTACAAAACAGTGACTAATTATTGACAGAGTACAAAACAGTGACTAATTATTGACAGAGTACAAAACAGTGACTAATTATTGACAGAGTACAAAACAGTGACTAATTATTGACAGAGTACAAAACAGTGTCACAATTATTGACAGAGTACAAAACAGTGTCACAATTATTGACAGAGTACAAAACAGTGACTAATTATTGACAGAGTACAAAACAGTGACTAATTATTGACAGAGTACAAAACAGTGACTAATTATTGACAGAGTACAAAACAGTGTCACGATTATTGACAGAGTACAAAACAGTGTCACAATTATTGACAGAGTACAAAACAGTGACTAATTATTGACAGAGTACAAAACAGTGACTAATTATTGACAGAGTACAAAACAGTGTCACAATTATTGACAGAGTACAAAACAGTGACTAATTATTGACAGAGTACAAAACAGTGACTAATTATTGACAGAGTACAAAACAGTGACTAATTATTGACAGAGTACAAAACAGTGTCACAATTATTGCAATTTTTATCATACTTTTCAGATTTTCATTTGAATCTCTCTCTTAACATTCATCACCACACTGTAAAAAACATCACAGATTGTGATAAATATCACTAGATTGTAACAAACATCATCAGACTGTAACAAACTTGAAAAAGATTGTAACAACGTAACAATTTTAACAAACATAACTAAATTATAATAAATATCTCCACATTGTAACAAACATCACAGATGCTAACATTACCAGATGGTAATAAACATCAGCAAACTGTAAGAAATATCACTAACTATAACAAACACTACAAACTATACTATAGCAAATACCACAATCTGTAACAAATGTTGTTGACCACAAAGAGCATCACAGATTGTAACAAACGACTCAGGCTGTAGCAAACATAACCAGATTGTAACAAATATCACAGATAATAACAGACATCACTGATTTTAACAAACATCACCAACTGTAAAAAAAAAAGCATGCATGGTTGTAACAAACTTCACTAGATTGTAGCAAACATGACCAAATTGTGACGAATATCACCAAAGTGTAACAAACATCACAGATTGTAATAAATGTTACAGACTAACAAAAGTCACCAATAGTCACAAACATCACCAATTTCTGACAAACATTATAAAATTGCAAAAAAAAATAAAAAATCACAGTTTGTAACAAGCATCATCAGAATGTAACACAAATCACCAAATTATAACAAACATGAACAAACTGTAACAAACATTACCAAGCTGTTACAAACATTACCAAGCTGTAACAAACATCACCTTATGGTGCTAAATATTGACATGGTGTTCCAATGTTTCCAGCTGTGACAATCATAACCAGATTGCAGCAGACAATAAACAGTTGTCACTAACACCCAGGACTCAAAAAATCAGTATTGGTGATTTTCTAACGGACCACTTTACAGTGATTTAAATAATGACATGAGCATCATACCATTTAGAGAGCAATGGCAAAGTGCTAATGTAAAATTATGTAGTACAACCATTAACAGTCAAGAAATGTTGAAGTTAGTTTGTTATATCCTGAAGAGGACGTGCAACTAAATTTTTTTTTTTTAAAAACAAACATAAGTGGCTTTTAACAAATATCACTAAGTTATAATAAACTTATGAGGGAATGAGAATACAAAGGAAACATAAAAATATGAATGATTATGTTAATGGTGAAACAATGAAACAAGTACGAGAATTTGAAGCATATCAGTGCCAAACACGGTAACTGAATAGGGCAAAAAACATAAAATAACTACCTGTGAAATCAGCACTCTGTAAGGTCATTGAGAGAAAGTTAAAATAAGACAGTGCTTGAATTATATTGGCAGAAAAAAAAAATGAAATGGTTTAGATTTCTAGTAAAAATGTAGCCAGACCAAACTGCATTTGAGGCACCATGTAACCGTTAGTTTGGAATATCACTACTATATATTAATGTTTTAATAACTTATCTTAACTATAATGGTGTTAATTATTGAAAAAATTAGTATTTTATGATAGAGTATGTGTTCCTTAACGGTGGCAGGTATTTGAATGTGGTTGTTCAACAATTTATGATGCCACTTCCTGATATGCAAGTGTTTCATCCTAATAATGTTACCAGTTTAACAAGTAGAATCAACTGTAGATAGAGCCAAAATGTGGAAAACAGTACCTAAAATAAGAGTAGTGTGTGTTATATTACCTTCACAGAAGGTGATTACAAGAATAAGACTGCCAATATTTTCACACACAAAATACAGTCATTAAAATAACATTCTGTGTAACACAAATAAAAAGATTTGAACCTTGTGGCAGAGTCAGACGACACACAGCCTGCAGCAGTAGCGAGTGTTTGCCCTGGTATAAGGTGAACATGGCCTGGAGAAGATGAGAGATGGCTCTGGCTGTTTCTGACATCAGCAAGGTCAAGAGACACAAGGTCATGTCCATGCTCACTACAACAAGTATCTGGGGAACAGATAAGTCAATAAGACTATCATTTGCAGCATAAATATCAGTAAAGTTACCACTTTCTCTTCTCTATCCCCTCTTTTTCTTCTTCTATGTGACTACCATTTGTGGCACAAATTTTAGTATGATAATTATTTGCTCATCTTGTTTTTCTCTTTCCGTTCTCTTCTATGTGAAGCTATCATTTGTGGTATAAACAGCATCCATATACAGTATATACCACTTTCTCTTCTTCATTCATGTAAGACTATCATTTGTGACATAATTATAAGAAAGGTAATTACTTTCTCTTTTTGTTCTTCTCCTACTCTACTATGTAAAACTATCATTTGTGCTATAAATATTAGTAGAGTTACTACTTTCTCTCTCTGTTCTCTTCTTCCTTGTAAAACTACCACTTGTGGCATACATTTAGGTAAAATTATACTATTTGCTTTTCTTAGTCTTTTTAAAATTATATTGTGTGCTACAAATATTAGTGAAGTTACTACTTTCTCTCTATGTTATTCTATTTCTCTCCTATATAAGACTATATGTAAAGTTACCATTTGCTTTTCTTCTCCCATGTAAAGTTATCACTAGTAGCCTAAATAGTGGTAAAAGAATTACTTTCTCATCTTTTCGTCTTTATCTTATAAGTAAGACTATCATTTATGGTATGAATGTCAAGAAAGTTACCATTTTCTCTTCTTCTTCTATATGTAAGGCTATCATTTGCAGCAAAAATTGCAATATAGTTATGTTTCTTTTCATGTTTTTCTCTCCTAAGCTTATATAGGTATAAATATTATTATTATTTTAACTTTGAAACAACAAGGAAAAGCACCAAATGCCTGATCTACCAATAAAAAGAAAAAGGGTCCTGTGTTTTTAAAAGCTTTCTGAGTTAACTGGTTTAATTTAAAAATCTTTGGACTCCCGGGGCTTTATATAGCTTATCTCTTTCAGTTACCAAACAATGCACCATGTGTGAGTGGATTAACTCTTGTGCAATAGTCAAAATATTATCACTCTTTAAAATTTTAAGTGTAGTTAGGGCATATAAATAAAACTCAACAACACACTAGTCTCTTATAAAGGTTGCGTATTTAGCTCCTGCGGGTGTAGTATACCCATGTTTGTGTGGTTGTAACTATTACCTCCTTTGGAATTCAGCAACAACCTTCTGGGAATGAAAAAAAAAATGTAAAGTCTAAATTCAGCCCTGTGTAAGAGACCAGTTTCCATTGTTCAAATCATGTTTTGTGAGTCAACCCTTCATAAGGCAATGCAAGTTTAGCCGGTGTCTTTTTTAGAAGATAGTGTTTTACAATACTCCAAGGAGGCATAAGACTCACAACCCATGGCCATGAAGTTCTTCCGCTCCAAAGCACAAAGCCTGGGTAGTTATGTAGAGACCATATGTTGCCCTTGCATCATGATCTCTCACTCGGCTTGTCTTGTTTACTCCAAAGAAAAGAAAACACCAGTATGTTTGGAAGAAAGCAGGCTGCAGAAATTACCAGATCAGAAGAGCAGTGCTCTATCTGTCCTTTTGTCGGAGCTTTCCTCCTAGACCAGCTGCCAGCTAAGGCTAAGGACCTGGTCAGTCCTGCCATAACAAACAGTTTTCATGTTGTATTTCCTCTTCCTAGGATAAGGCTAGTATCCTCCCCAATGTGCCCCTTCACCCAAAGCAACTAGCACATAGTGGGATGTCAGGTTTGGTATTCGCCACCCAACAGAAGACCAGCAGTACCACCTCCTGTTATATGGTAAGCTCAGTCATATATGCCCAAGACCTGACTATGACATTGCCAAATGAGTGAGCATATGAGTGTGTATTTAAGCAAAAACAACAGCAAAAAACCACTAAAGTTAGTTTGCAACATGCTAAAGAGAATACACAACTATTTGTTCAACAATCTTGCTGTAATCTTTATCTTATCAAAGACTAACACTCAGAAAATCACAAAAAATCTTGCTGTAGTCTTTATCTGGTTTAAGCACTTACACTGGGCAAATCACTAAAAATCTTACTGTAGTCTTTATCTGGTTTAAGCACTTACACTGGGCAAATCACTAAAAATCTTACTGTAGTCTTTATCTGGTTTAAACACTCACACTGGGCAAATCACTAAAAATCTTACTGTAGTCTTTATCTGGTTTAAACACTCACACTGGGCAAATCACTAAAAATCTTACTGTAGTCTTTATCTGGTTTAAACACTCACACTGGGCAAATCACTAAAAATCTTACTGTAGTCTTTATCTGGTTTAAACACTCACACTGGGCAAATCACTAAAAATCTCCCTGTGGGTCTTTATCTGGTCAAACACTCACACTGGGCAAATCACTAAAAATCTTGCTGTAGTCTTTATCTGGTCAAACACTCACACTGGGCAAATCACTAAAAATCTTGCTGTAGTCTTTATCTGGTCAAACACTCACACTGGGCAAATCACTAAAAATCTTGCTGTAGTCTTTATCTTATCAAAGACTCACACTGGGCAAATCACTAAAAATCTTGCTGTAGTCTTTATCTTATCAAACACTCACACTGGGCAAATCACTAAAAATCTTGCTGTAGTCTTTATCTGGTTTAAGCACTTACACTGGGCAAATCATTTGTGTGCTCCCTGTGGGCTGCCAGATGAGAGATGGCTCTGTACATGCTCTGGAGTTCTTGGTTCATCATAGTTACATTCAAATGCTTGTGCCACACAGTCAGCAAGTGATGAGGAAAGGTATGTTCTCCTACAAGGTGGGGCTCCCAAGGAACTACTGGATCAGTCTCAGATTTGTCCAACAGATAATCTGTGAAGAAACCAAATATAACTGTTGAAGAGAAATTTTACTTTTATTCTTTTTTTTTTCTGCATAATCTTAGAAGTCACTGGCTGTAAACTCTGGCAGAAAGTGCTGGTTGCTCGTCCACTTCTGGACTTAGTTTACTTTTATGACAGGCTTGTTTGGGCGGCATGGAAAGGTAGTGAAAGGGCTGATGCCAGTGGGTCTATTCCTGTCTCCACATAAATGGGGCCTGGAACCCACAAGGAGTAAGTGAAATATTTTCAAACATCAATATCTGCCATTTGAAAAGGTAAGACAACATGCTCAGTATCAGGATACATTCATAATCATTGACGATAAACATCAATATCTGCCATTTGAAGATGGCAAGACAACATGCTCAGTATCAGAATACATTCATAATCATTGATGAAAAACGTCAATATCTGCCAATTGAAGTGGCAAGACAACATGCGCAGTATCAGGATACACTCATAATCATTGACGAAAAAACGTGGCGCGGTGATTTATGTCACAGGCGTGAAGGGAAGTTAAGTCCAACATGATGTGTATAAGGAGATACTCCGTACGTCACTCGGGCGCCAGTCCTTTACTATCCTGGTTGGTACGTTGTGTCACGCAAGACCCCTACAGCACGTCCTCGTCGTGCGCCACGGATAATGTCTCAAATGAGCATTAACAGAGCTGTCAGGGGATCTCGGATATTTTGGCGGCCCCCAGAGGTGATGTGTCCTTGTGAGCTCTCATCAGCCCGCCCCTGTATCGCTTGGGTGTGAAATGTTATCAAAACTCACCAGGAACATGAGTAGGTTTGAACAAAGTACAGCTAAAATACAACCCTTGGTTAAAAGACTGCTGAGTAAAGAGAACATTGCTCAATGCTCATCCTCGGTTAATCCTCAGTGTCGTCCGTCACCGCGCTGAGGTGCACCAGTCCAGCAACCATACATGGGCTGGCCATCCTCATGCATCCTCGGTTGCCCCTCAGTCCCTCATCGTGCGCCACGCTGAGGTCTCAAAACAGCAACCATCCAGTAGGCTGGCCAGTCACGTACATCCTCGGCGGCCCCTCAGTGTCGTCGTCACCTTTCTGTGGTACACCACAACAGCAACCATTCATCGCATGGCTAAAAAATGTATAACAAAACTAGATCATACGGATCAAAATCTGACCATCAAAATTTACACTGAACTGAAAAAGGCCGAATGTCCACACCCAAAGACCCCACTCACCCAAGTGTGCTGCTGAGACTCAAACCTGATAAGAGATATGCCTGATTCAGGATGTGAAATTCTGTCGGGCTAATGTGGGAGATCTGTGTGGTCACAAAAGTCCAAAACCCACGGGCTGCTCCCCGCTGACTTCCAGAGGGCGCAGCCCCTGTCGAGCGTCAGGCCGATACGGTTGTGAGGTTAAGCACGGCATGTGCAGGACGTGACGATTCCTTGGGTGAGCCCAGAACCAGTCCGCCAAAGTGCCGGCTCTGCATGCATGGAAGCCTCCTTGGATGGCGGAATTCGTAATGCCCATGATCTGCCCCTGCCGTTCCCACTGGGCCCACTGTTCCACAGGGGGCTGCCCCAAAGGGCAAGCCTGACCTGCGGCGAAGGAGACAAGGCGGACACAACTCAAATCAGGCAAAGTCTCGATGACACAAAACAATGTACCACAGTCACCCAAGAAATAGGCCTGCGGTCTGCTCCCCGCGAAGTCGGCGTACAGCTGCCCAAGAGCAGGGAAATGAAAAAACGGTTGTACAAGCAGCAAAAAGGACAGACGATCCAGGGTGAAAGCCAAAAGTCCAAGCGGATGATTAACGGGACCTTCATTGGAATTCACAAGCCGGTGTTCGATGAAAAAAAAAAAAAAATTGACGAAAAAACAATGTTCCAGAGTGAATATGTCACATGAAAATGATAATTATGAAATGATAGGAATAATAATGATTTCCTCTTCTTCTTCTGCCTTTGCCATTAAAAAGGTGGTTGGTATGTTGTGTTGCAGTTTAAAGCCAGTCTTTGATATTCGCACCTTCTGGACCATTACATCTGAGGTACATTGGTAGCGTCCATTGGATATTTTCTCCACTTTCTGTCAGTGTGTTGGGAAATGAGCAATCACATTGACCGGTTCTGCACCATTTGTGGGTGAACTGATATATGACAAGCTGGCTGTTGTGAGGGCTCTTTGTCAGTGTGTTAACAGTGCTGAGGCACAGTTAAATCATTGTGGTCTGAGAAGAATGGCACTGCGAGGAGTTACAAGGGGTTCTGGCCAATGCTCGACACTCAAGGGATAGGTGAGACAGATATACAATTAGACAGTTACTGGTACCATCGGAATTTTACCTCTTTGTTTGCTGCTGTAGATGGGAACGGAGTGCTTATAGGGGTGTTCTGAGTGCTGTGATGTCGATTCTTAATTCAACATTCAACAACTGATTTAAGTTAAGTTCTAATTAGTTACATTTTATGAGAAAGCTTGCAAAGGGGCAGTGAATGTATGTCTCCCTCTCCTGCCCTCACACACATAAAACAAACAAAAAAATACTGCCTGTATTTATCAATTATAGGGTGGTTTAGCTGTTGGTCAAAAGAGCAGCCCAGATGTTTTGAAAGAGGCGAGGTCTCGAAGACAACATATTACAAACATCAGAAAGAGACGGTCATCATTTTTTGGTCATCTTATAAGAAAAATGAAACTGGAATATGCTGTGACCACTGGAAAGATCTGTGGAACTAGACACAGGAAGACAATTAGTTAGTTAGTTAGTTAGTTGGGTTATCCTCATTGCACTCCAGACATGTCCATAGGTGCTCAGATCCTCCCCTCAGTATGAACACCAAAGTCCGATGGCTAATAGTACCAGTTCTATGTTGATTAACAAGTCTTCTGGCGTGTCTGGTGTGCGTCTCGTTTTTTGCTGTGCCGATCTTAATTCCCAAGTCTGCCATTCTGGCGAGTGATGTGGATTCACTGCCACCAAAGTCCTCTATCCTTCCCATTTCTCTGAGGGCATTGATAATATCAGCATGATCCATAGGCTGACCGTCGGTAGTGATAGCGGATCCAGCCACCCTGTCAGCTCTTTCATTTCCATCAACGCCTGCGTGTCCCGGAACAAAAATAAAGGTGACTCCACGCACAGTGGACTTCTGTAATGATTCAGGAAGACAATGATTCTTGTCAGCCTTTTGTCATGGCATGAAGGGTTGTCAGCACACTAACTGAAACATGCTGTTGAAGATCTCAGATTGTGGGAGAGGTATGATTGCCCATGCCAGTTGGCAAGGCACTTGATGATGATGGTGAGATATAGATCACAAGTGTGAGTATTTAGTGCCACACAGTTAGTCACCATGAACTGTGCTGGTTAAGGTTTTATTTTTTTCCCTAAAAGAACAAAAAAAGAAATAAAAAAAAAACAGATTTTCATCACCGACTAGTCCAAACCTGTGTCTCCTGCAGGATAACCCAAGATTCTAACTATCTAGGAAGCCACTTTTCATCAATGAAACAAATAAGGTTACAGATGCTTGGGGGGTGAGGATGGGGGGTGGTGAGGGGGGGGAGGAAGGGGTGTTTAGTTTTTGTTTTCAGTCATACCTGGCAGTTCAATTCTGTTGGTGAGAGGTTTCTGTTTCTGCCACTGGGAGAACATCTCAGGGTTCACCGGTTTGTGGGTCAAGGTCAGTGAAGTATCGAAAGCAATCAACTGCTGAGCCAACAGTTCATGTGTGCTGACGAAAGGTAAAAGCACCTGAAATATTCACCATTGAAAACAATTGAAATAAATCTGAAAATTCTTTCTCGTTGGTACGGTTAGAATAATTAAAAGAGCCCACCTCTTCAGGTATATTGGACATATGGTGCTATAAAATCCCCGTGTGGGTTCCGGTGCCCTATTATAGGGAAAACAAGAATGGATCCACTGCCTACCCAAAAGCATGTCGTAAGAGTAGACTAACTGCGAACTTCCTTCAAAGTCAGAGTGCATCTGTTTGAGAGGCAAGGAACCAGCAGTCTGCATACAAATAATTCAGATCTGTAAAACGGATGCACACGCAACACTCAGGTTCTGGAACAGGACTGCAAGCCAGAAGTGGATGAACAGCCAGAACTTTCCACTAGAGTTTACAGCTGATGAACGCGAAGAAGAAGAAGTGCTATAAAATGTTTGTTCAACAACTCATACACACACATGAAAGAGTGTGACTCTTTCCCCGAGAAAATCATGAAATTACGTAGTTTTTCTTTGACCCCGTGTCAAACCAGTCATAGTGTGACTCTTTCCCCGAGAAAATCATGAAATTACGTAGTTTTTCTTTGACCCCGTGTCAAACCAGTCATAGTGTGCATTACTTCCTGAAACTAATAGAAGTAAACCTTCCAAAAGTCTACCAAGACAGTTTCATGATAAAAATATACATAGTAAAGAATAAAATATCTACATATGATATTCTTCTTTGGTGAAAAAAAAAATATTTCCTTAACATCATGGATATTCTAAGGCTGTATGAAAAAAAAAAAAAAAAAAAAAATCGTTGCAATCTTCATCTTTTTCTTTGCGTTCGGTTTCGTATGCTCAGATCAGACCGTCAGGTGGGTTGCCTCTACGAACTCGCATGTCAGCAGCAGGTCCCTCATAGTTCCTCATAGCTTGTTCAGCACACTTTGCTCTTGAAGACAGGTGTCTTGCAATCTAACAGGCAGTTTTTGAGAAAATGGCTTTCAAGTGTGTTTATGAGTTGTTGAACGAACTATAATTGGTGAAGTCTTAGATTAGAAGCAATACACAAAGTTCAATGTGTGATTGTGAAGATGATGTGAGATGCATCTGATGTTAAACGAGCGATAATCCCTAGAAATTTATTGAAAAATTAAGGCAAGCACAAGCTGCTTGCAGATCTGTGATACATTCTTTGATCAGTGACATATGTATGGTGAATCTGTTGCTTTCTTAGCCCTTATAAATTATCATGTGACAAATAGGGAGTGACTGCAGTTGAGCTGAATCCAAGTAAGGCTAAATATAACACAAAATATGACTTTTCTAATCTCTACTTGAGCTTTCTAGTCACATCTTGTGTTTTGGATAACGTTATAAAACCAGTCTCATAATTAAATTCTTGGATTTTTTTTTGCTGTATCTTGTTGGAATTATTTAATTGTTGGTACATGTGTTCCCAGTGGAACTTACGTCATCAACCATTTTAATCCAAGCTCCCATCTGTTTTACTATCATTGTCTCTTTCCATTTATTTTAAAAAATCAGCTTTATTCTCTGTGTATTATACTGGGGGTTCAATATATAATGTTAACAATCATATATAGCAATTCTGGAAAAAGTGGGAATCAAAAGAGAGATGCCAGAAAAAAAAGACAAAATAGACAGGAAAAATTATTTTGTCCACATAAAAATTGTGAAAACCATAAAAGACAGAAAAGAAAGACAAGCCAACAAGAGGTAGAATCAATACAAATGGAGGGGTCACAGTTTACATCAAGAGATGGAAGAACAGCAGTCTCAGAGAGTTTAAAACCAGGACAGTTGAGGTGAGTTGAGTCAAGAATTGACATTACAGCACTCAGGGCATTCCCATGCGTGCTCTAACCTCATCTTCAGTAGCTAGTGCAGAGTTGCAATACTGATGGTAAAGGTCACATACTGGTTATCCCTTAAACCTCTTGGCTCCTGCCCTTCTATTGCTCTGCTTTCTTCTCTTACCATTTCCTTGTTTTCTCCTCTTCAATCTCTCTTTGCTGCTCTGTGAAGATGTCGAGCGTAGAGCACATGCTCCATAGCTCCGGCGACAATTGACAATTCTTATGAAAAAACCAGGACATGATACACAGAGTGACAGAGATCCACTGGGGCCAACCATCACTGGGGGAGACGCCCTCTGACTGACTGATATTATTTGATTCTTCTCTAAAGTTTTTTTTTTTTTAATTTTCCCTGCATTCTTTCATTTACTTTTCAGTGTGCTTTATGATGTCTCTACATTTTATCTGAGAAATCGGCTCTACTGGCAAATTTGGCCGGTAAGCTGGACTGCTTCGGCCGGCTTAGCGGGGCTTCGTGGGAGTTATGTCCCTTGGCCCAACTCAAAACAAGTAGCGGAAAAAGTCACGAATCAAACGGCATTCTTACCTATCATCATCCGGGTGCGTGTAGGGTTGCGTAGGGTGTCTATCATCGTCCTACGGTTGCGTGTAGGGCTGCTTATTGCGTGTAGGGTTGGTTGTTTGCGTAAGATAGATGAGGGGTAGGGTTAGGGTTAGCGTTTAGGGGTTAGGGTTAGGGGTTAGGGATAGGGTTTAGGGTTAGGTGTAGCGTTAGATGTGACAATTGTGACGCCGTAGTTCCCTACAATCGCGCACAGTCGCATGCACGCGCAAACAGTCGACGGACGGTGGATGCTACTGACACGGACAATTCGCCGCCACCGATTGGGGCACCAGCCGCCGCGCGCTGTGGCGTCATATTTGGCACACTTCCAGTGGCGCCACTCCCACAAGCATCAGATTGTCGGCCAGTATTTCCACCTCCTACGTGAATATTTTCACATCATCTAACCCTAACCCTACCCCCACCCCTAACCCTACCCCCTAACTCTCCCCCTTAACCCTAACCCTAACCCACACCCCTAACCCTACTGCTAACCCAAACCCTAAGCAACCCTACACGCAACCGTATGATGATGATGATAGACACCCTACGCATCCCTACACGCAACCGTATGATGATGATAGACACCCTACGCAGCCCTACGCGCAACCGTATGATGATAGGTAACCCTAGACGCCACCCTACACAGCCCTACACGCACCCGGATGATGATAGGTAAGTATGTCATTTGATTCGCTACTTTTTCCGCGACTTGTTTTGAGTTTGGCGAAGGGACGCGAAGGGACATAACTCCCACGAAGCCCCGCTAAGCCGGCCGAAGCAGTCCAGCTTACCGGCCAAATTTGCCAGTAGAGCCAACTTTCCTACTCAAGGCGTAACTTATATCATGTGATCTTCATCATGTAGGTTGGCCCGTGCCCCTCGTTCCTGGTACCATGACTGTTGCTATTATTCTTTCAAATCAACTGTGGTGCTTGATAATGTCAAAATATTCCAGTCCAAGACATAATACAATTTACTAGTCAATCTTCCCTGGCGTACAAATCTTTTAAGATGTCAGTCTTTCTTTTTTCTTGGTATTCTGGGAATCTTTCAAAAGCATTTTAGTTACATATACTAAAATTGGAACGATACAGAGAAGATTAGCATGGCCCCTGCGCAAGGATGACACGCAAATTCGTGAAGCGTTCCATATTAAAAAAAGAGAAAAGAAAAAAAAAAAAGAAAAAAAAGAAAAAAAAAAAAAAAAAAAAAAAAAAAAAAAAAAAAAAAAAAAAAAAAAAAAAAATTTAGCTCAAATGCTCCTATTTTCTTAGTTAACAACTGTGAGATGGTCCACGACCTAAATCTGTACGTTGTTACAGGACGATGCCTGCTTTCACAATTAAGACTGTGGCGCGGTGATTTCGGTCACAGGCATGAGGGGAAGTTAAGTCTGATGTGATGTGTATAAGGAGATATTCCGTACCCCACTCGGGCGCCAGTCCTTCACTGTTCTGGTTTTACGGAACCTCATGCAAGACTCCTGTTGCACGTCCCCGTCGTGCGCCACGGATAATGTCTCAAATGAGCATTAACAGAGTTGGCAGGGGATCTCGGAGCTGGCGGCCCCTAGAGGTGTAGTCCTTTCTGGCTCTCACCAGCCCGCCCCCAAACGCATGGGTGAAAAGTAACAAAACTCAAGGACTGCTTGCTAAATGTACCATCAAATGACAACTCTTGGTTAAAATTCGGGAGCGAATGGAAAACTGTGCTGCTGAGACTCAACCCTGACCGAGAGATTTACCCGCAGCCAAGACGAGTAACATCTCTTGTGGGCGACTTCTCGCAGCAAGATCCCACCTACGTACATCCTCTGTCAATCCTCAGTGTCGTCGTCACCGCGCTGAGGTACACCATGGCAGCAACTATTCATATGCTGGCTTGAAAACAATGTCCGACAAAGTTATACCCCACGGCACACATGCAAGCTCAAAGTCCGACGATCATAACTCGTACCGATTAGGAAAAGTCTGAATGTCCGTATCCACTGGTCCAACTCGCCCGAGTGTTGGGACCAAACAGGTGAAGCCACGCCTGACGCATTTTGCTTCCCCATTCTGTCGTGCTAAGGGCACAGCTGAAACAACGTTAAAGGTGTCTAACGTAAGATGAAAAAGAATGTACCTATTTGTGTGGCCACAAACGTCCTAGACCTGCGGGCTGCTCCCCGCTGATCTCCGGAGAGCGCAGCCTTGTAGCGCGGGAAGCTCAATACACGGTTGTGAGGTTAAGCAGTCATGGGCAGGACGTGACGATTCCTTGGGTGAGCCCAGAACCAGAGCATCATGTGTCGGCTCTGCATTTATGGAAGCCTCCTTGGATGGCGGGGAATGCCCATGATCTGCCCCTGCCTTCCCTTGAGGGCTGAAAACTCTACATAGAGCTGCCTTAAGGACGACATGCCTGGGGCCACACCTGTTAAAAGTCAAAGAGGACACCACACAAATAAGGCAACATCTCGACCCACACAAAACAATGGCCACAGTCAACCTAGAAATAGGCTTGACGTCTTCCTCCGAAGTCGGAGTACATCTGCCGGAGAGGCGGGGAACGAGTACTGCAAACAAATAAGCCAGTAAAACGGATGTACACGCAAAACTCAGGTCAAGGTAAAAGCCAAAAGTCCATTTTGGACGAACAACCGCGACTTACCGCCGGAATTCACAGCCGGTGAACAAGAAGAAGAAGACAATTAAGACTTTATTTCCTTCTGGTGCTAAGCCAAAGACTTTTAGAGCTGACTTTCCCCTGTCTTGAGTTTCCCTATATTTTATTCTTCGTTCTCTTTTGAGACTCTATACATTCATTATCATCCTGTATTCTTTGGTCTCTAATATCTTTTGCTTTATTTATCTGATGTTTTACAAAGGTGGGGGTGTCTGCCCGTTCAATACGGTTCAATAAATTCAAAATCATAGATGGAATTCAGTCCAGCATCTTTGGCCTCTCTCGTCAGCGTTTGTTTTAGGCTTTCGTATGGAAGTACCCGCTTCCTCTTTTCTTTTATTTCTAATTTTAGTGATTGCTTACTGATTCTCTGCTTGGTTCTTCACAGGATGTGTCCAATACAGAACCATCCTCTTCATTTTATAAATGTTTTAATAGAGGTTGCTCAGAGATTCCTATTATTTCTTCCCTCCTCTTGAATTCACCCGATTCAATTCCAACAAGTAATAACCTGGGAATTAGAGAAGCCCGCATTATAATGATCAAATCATCCAATGAATGCTAACTGATCCTTATACATATGGGTCAAGAGCCATGGAACCAATACATCAGTACTGTGAAAACAGTCATTTACTTGTACTTCTACTTCACTTACTTTGAGAGATTCATGCTTTTCTAGGAATAAGTAAGCCTCCTGCCAATCTCCTTGCACTAGATGATGAGTCAAGAGACTGTAGCAATAGACCAGCTCTGGACTTTCATTGCTGATGAGCTTTGAATCATTTGGGATTTTCACTTGCAGCTGCTCTTGGTTCAAGTCTTGTACCTTTCTTGCTTCCTGGATTTGTCTCATTGCTAGGTAACTGAAACAAGAACATGTTTATAGTTAGACCTTAGTGTGATTCATGGTTGGACCTTTGTTTTATGGTTGGGCCTTAGTTTGTTTTTTAGTTGGGCCTTAGTTTGTTTTATGATTGGACCTTAGTTTGTTTTATGGTTGGACCTTAGTTTGTTTTATGGTTGGACCTTAGTCTGTTTTATGGTTGGACCTTAGTTTGTTTTATGGTTGGGCCTTAGTTTGTTTTATGGTTGGGCCTTAGTTTGTTTTATGGTTGGACCTTAGTTTGTCTTATGGTTGGACCTTAGTTTGTTTTATGGTTGGATCTTAGTTTGTTTTATGGTTGGGCCTTTGTTTTATGGTTGGACCTTAGTTTGTTTTATGGTTGGACCTTAGTTTGTTTTTTAGTTGGGCCTTAGTTTGTTTTATGATTGGACCTTAGTTTGTTTTATGGTTGGACCTTAGTTTGTCTTATGGTTGGACCTTAGTTTGTTTTATGGTTAGACCTTAGTTTGTTTTATGGTTGGGCCCTAGTTTGTTTTATGGTTGGACCTTAGTTTGTTTTTTAGTTGGGCCTTAGTTTGTTTTATGGTTGGACCTTAGTTTGTTTTATGGTTGGACCTTAGTTTGTTTTATGGTTGGACCTTAGTTTGTTTTATGGTTGGACCTTAGTTTGTCTTATGGTTGCACCTTAGTGTGTTTAATGGTTGGACCTTAGTGTGTTTAATAGTTGGACCTATGTGTATTTAACAGATAGACCTTAGTGTGTTTATAGTTATACCTTAGTGTGTTTAATAGTTGGACCTTGTTGTGTTTAACAGTTAGACCTTAGTGTGTTTAATAGTTGGACCTTGTTGTGTTTAATAGTTAGACCTTATTTTGTTTAATAGTTGGACCTTATTGTGTTTAATAGTTAGACCTTAGTGTGTTTAATAGTTGGACCTTATTGTGTTTAATAGTTAGACCTTAGTGTGTTTAATAGTTGGACCTATGTGTATTTAACAGATAGACCTTAGTGTGTTTATAGTTAGACCTTAGTGTGTTTAATAGTTGGACCTTAATGTGTTTAACAGTTAGACCTTAGTGTGTTTAACAGTTAGATCTTAGTGTGTTTAATAGTTGGACCTTGTTGTGTTTAACAGTTAGACCTTAGTGTGTATAATGGACCTTTTTGTGTTTAACAGTTAGACCTTAGTGTGTTTAATAGTTGGACCTTGGTGTGTTTAACTCTTTGAGTCCCAAGGAACGCATCATACGTTCATAGATTCCTACCTAGAAGCCCAATGAACGCAAGATGCGCCGATTTTATGTCTCTCTTGACTACCCCCTGGGCCTGTGATGCTAAACCCCCTGGGACTCAAAGAGTTAATAGTTGGACCTTAGTGTGTTTAGCAGTTAGACCTTGGTGTGTTTAATAGTTGGACCTTATTGTGTTTAACACTTAGACATTGGTGTGTTTAATAGTTGGACCTTATTGTATTTAACACTTAGACATTGGTGTGTTTAATAGTTGGACCTTATTGTGTTTAATAGTTAGACATTGGTGTGTATAATAGTTGGACCTTATTGTGTTTAACACTTAGACATTAGTGTGTTTATTACTTGGACCTTATTGTGTTTAACACTTAGACATTGGTGTGTTTAATACTTGGACCGTATTGTGTTTAACAGTTAGACATTGGTGTGTTTAATACTTGGACCTTATTGTGTTTAACACTTAGACATTGGTGTGTTTAATACTTGGACCTTATTGTGTTTAACAGTCAGACCTCGGTATGTTTAATAGTTGGACCTTATTGTGTTTAACAGTTAGACATTGGTGTGTTTAATACTTGGACCTTATTGTGTGTAACAGTTAGACATTGGTGTGTTAAATACTTGGACCTTATTGTGTTTAACAGTTAGACATTGGTGTGTTTAATAGTTGGACCTTATTGTGTTTAACAGGTAGACATTAATGTGTTTAATACTTGGACCTTATTGTGTTTAACAGTTAGACATTGGTGTGTTTAATACTTGGACCTTATTGTGTTTAACAGTTAGACCTCGGTATGTTTAATAGTTGCACCTTATTGTGTTAAATAGTTAGGCTTCAGTTTGTTTAATAATTGGATGTTAGTGTCTATGTATTTTTGTGTGGAATTCTAAAAGGTGTACTTATTAATTTGAAAAGTATTTTAATATTTTTATTATGACTATATATATATATATATATATATATATATATATATATATATATATATATATATATATATATATATATATATATATATATATATATATATATATATATATATATATATATATATATATATTATTTCCTCAGTTGCTATGTTGTTTTTAATAGTGTATGTTTATGTATGACAGTAGATGTATAGATATGTGTGTTATAATTTGTTATTATATTTAATGGTTATTAAATAAGCACAAACACACACACACACACACACACACACACACACACATATATATATATATATATATATATATATATATATATATATATATATATATATATATATATATATATATATATATATATATAATTTATATATATATGTATATATATATATATATATATGTGTGTGTGTGTGTGTGTGTGTGTGTGTGTGTGTCTGTGCTTATTTAATAACCATTAAATATAATAACAAATTTTAAACATAAATAGTATATGAACGTTTTGTGGTGGGGGTCGAGTGTGTTTAGTCCCACTACCAGAAAACAGACAGATTACTTACTCACTAGAAGAGACAACAACAGTAACAGCAAATAAACTGTCCTTGCTATAAGAATGGTGAGAGAAAAAGAATATAACAAGAATATAACACCTCAAAGTTACCCGAAAAAAAAAAAATAAACAACAACAACAGCGGGAAAGAAAAATCGTTAATATACATAACTAAATAACTCACCATTTAGCTGCTTCTTCAAACTGTCCATCTTTCATGAGACTCTGACCCCATTCTGTATACAAATCCTCCAACAGGGGATCTACTGAAGACAGGCGCATCTTTGTCAACGACACAGCTTCCCTGTAATGACAATGGAAATGGTTAACAAGTACAAATGGCGCTCAAAACAGGCTTGTTACTCTACTCTTAAACGATGTGTGGACAACAATTGGTAGTGGCAGTTGTAATTTTCATGAAATTTCCTGTTCAACCCTTAGGTTTATAAACAGTGTTAATCACAGATGCGTTAGAGATGTCGAGGCCGATCATCATCAGGTTCTTTGCCGACTGGCGTGGGCGATCATGCCTCTCCACAGTCTGCGTTCTCTTGCAGCGCGTACCAGTTCGTGTGCTGACACACCTCCATGCCATGCAACAAGACTGTCAAGAATCTTCTCTCGTTGTCTTTCTCTATCCCTCCTTCCACAGATCTTTCCAGTGGTCACAACATGTTCTATTTTCCCTCTTCTCATAACATGACCGAAAAATGATGACTGTCTCCCTCTGATGACTGTCTCCCTCTGATGACTGTCTCCCTCTTTCAAAACCTCTTGGTTGCTCTTTTTGGCTATCCAAGCTATTTTTGAGCATTCTTCTGAGACACATCTCTGACACCTCAATAAATTTTTTGGCCTGTCTACCGACTGTCCAGGACTCACAGCCATATGTTAAAACTGAATGTATGTAGCAAGCAAGAATTCTTTTTCTAACCTTCAATGAAAAAGATATATTGCATAAGATTTTCTTCATTTTATAAAATGCAGTTTTTGCCTGTCCTATTCTGTTTCTTATCTCAGTAATGCATCTCCCATCTGATTTTATCCACATGCACAGATACTTAAATTTCTGTACTTGTCCCAAAATAACACCGTTGACTTTTATTACACATTTAGGATTAATTATTTTCTTTGATACCACTGTTACATCTGTTTTTCCATTATTCAAACCGAGGCCCATTCTTTCCCTTTCTACCACCACAATGTCTACCAACTGCTGTACATAAACAAATTACGTTATGCTCTAATTGTGGAAGTGTTCCTGAAAGTTGCATAGGATCTTATCGGTAATTTTCTTTATCAAGGGCAACTTCAAAAAAATTAAATTTGCGGTACATTTTATTATTATTATTTTAATTTAATTATTCAACTTTCTTTCTCCTTCTCCTTCTCCTTCTGCTGCTGCTGCTGCTGCTGCTGCTGCTGCTGCTGCTGCTGCTGCTGCTGCTGCTCTACTGCTGCTGCTGCTACTGCTGCTGCTACTGCTGCTACTGCTGCTACTGCTGCTACTGCTGCTGCTGCTGCTGCTGCTGCTGCTGCTGCTGCTGCTGCTGCTGCTGCTACTGCTACTGCTACTGCTACTGCTACTACTACTACTACTACTACTACTACTACTACTACTACTACTACTACTACTACTACTACTTCTTCTTCTTCTTCTTCTTCTTCTTCTTCTTCTTTTCTTTTTCTTTTTCTTCTTCTTCTTCTTCTTCTTCTTCTTTTTCTTTTTCTTTTTCTTTTTCTTCTTCTTCTTCTTCTTCTTCTTCTTCTTCTTCTTCTTCTTCTTCTTCCCTTTTTTTCTGTGCAGAGCGTGGCCAGCAGGTGCCAGGGAGGTTGAAATTCCGCAAATCATTGAAGATAATGCTCGCTTGGAGGATGTGTTTATTTATTCAGATGGTTCAGTGTCAAGAGGCAAAAGAAGTGCTTAGGGTTTCTAAGCAAAAGTTAATGGTCGACGCTTGGTGCAGGAGAGCCTAGCATATGATACCACAACATCCAGCTTAAGAATTGAGGTAGAGGCGGTCACTGCAGCTTTCCATCGTGATTGTCACTGACTCAGAAAGCATGCTGAGGGTGGTCAGCACAAGCATGCCTCGTGCAGAATGTTTATGGTTTACCGCGGAGGTCACGGGTGAGAAGTATTATCTGATCTTTTCTCCGGGATACGGCGGTGTGTTGGGAAATGAACAGGTGGACAGACTGGCTGGCTCTGAACAACTTCGTGGAATAGGAGCAAATAGATCCCCACAGTCTGGTGAGAATGATGCAGCGGGGAGTGACGAGGGGTTTTGGCCGATGCTCGCCGCTCAGAGGACAGGCAAGACGGACATTTAACCAGAATGCTACTGGCACCACTGGTATTGTAACTGTGCTGGCTGCTGAAGATGGCGACGGAAGGCTTATGGGAATCCCTCGAGTGCTGTTATGTCAGTTCTTGAATCAACTCAACTTCTTCTTCTTCTTCTTCTTGAGTTTTTTTTTTTTTCTTCACCCTCTTCCATAACCAATTACATTTCTTTTCCACCAACTTGTCCTTCACCTTTTCTTCTTCTCCTCTTCCTTTTTCATATCTCTCGGTAATTTACCTTTCCTTCCACCCCCTCTTCTCGCATTTAGCGCTTAAATGACGTTATTTGAATTGTTTTCTTAAATGTATAGGGCCCGGCGGGGATGGGGATGGGGAGAAGGAGGCTGGCTGGAATAAACTTAAATGACAACTTACAATATAGCATTGTCCTTAGTTCTGTTGACGTTTTCTTAAGTTCGTTGTATTTTTAAAAGTCTAATTCGATCACAATATGTTGTCTAAATAATAATAATAATAATAATATTAATCATAAAAATAATAATAATTATTATATTATTTTTAATGTTGTTGCTAATTTTGTAAAATCCAGATGACTGGATCTGTTGACTGTCAAGAAGCCTGAGGAAAGAGAGCAAATGATGGCTTTATTCTCTTCTGGTAGGTAGACAAAACAAGAATGTGGAGCTGATGCATGATCTTTTCCTCCATACAGGGTGCACACGGCTTCAGTGCTGATGTCTTTTATCATCATTGAAGCGAGCGAGGGGAACTGGACAGTTGTACATCCTGGCTTGGAAGATCATCAGTGTCGGAACTGACTGAATGTTCTCGGGACAGAATGTTGTGGATGGATATGGCTACCAATGCCAAACAGGGAAGGACTACAAGAAAATCTGGGGATGTGTGTGAGTGCGTGTAGCTCTCGCTTTTCGCAGCATGCAGTTAATTAAATTCAAGTAGTAAGAGATGTTGATGTTTTGGGTTTGAGATTTGAACAACGCATCAACATCATGACACAAGGGTAGTAACCCATAAGTGCTCCGTTCTACTTCTATCTCAAGCCTGAATGCGAAGTAGCTCAGCGCAGTGCACGGGCCCTGTAGCACCGGCGAGAAACTTGAGATATTATGGGCAGATTTTTAACTCAAAATTGTGCCCGGGCAGCGCCTTTAGGCTACTCAAGTAGTAAGAAGTTTCACCAACGCATTGGAGATCATATCACGACAGTGGAGATAATATCAAGATTCTGAACATCAAGACAGCTGAGATAACATCGAGATAACGGAGATAACACGAACAGAGTAAAGATGAGCTCGTGCACTGTGTTGAGCTTCTTCGGACTCACACTTAAGTTAGAAGAAGAATGGAGTACTTATTGGTTATTACCCGTGTGCCATGATGTTGATCCGTTGTTCAAACCACAAACCTCATTTTAATTAAAAGCGTATTATTGTTGCCAATTTGTTGGAGTGATGATACAGCAACTTTGTAATTTCTGGTACTGTCTCCGTATGTTGGGTCAATTTAAAAAAAAATGAAAAAACCTCTAAAACTTACGTAAACAATTTGTGCTTTCTAAGCAGGTCAATAGCCTGGTGGACTTTCCTGGCTGCCAACAAATAGGTCACAGCCTTAAGATACTGACCATCCTCCTCCAGTTGCTCAGCATACTCCAGACTGACCAATTCCCAGAAATCACTGGAAACTGTTTAGAAAGAGAAAGAGATAGAGAGAGACAAAGAAGTTAACTATTTTAGGTCATTAGGTTTCCCGTGTAGGTTTCCAATGCCCTAAAGTGGAGAAACAAGAATAAACCCATTGGCTACCCAATAAGCATGTTGTTAGGGGATTAATTGGGGTCTTCCTTTGAAGTCAGAATGTATCTTCTTGAGAGACAGTGAACCAATAATGTGTATACTGATATGTCAGACCTGTAAAACGGATGTGCAAGCACCACTCAGGTTTTGGAACACGATTAGAATTTAAAGGTAGATGAACAACCATAACTTTCCGCTGGAGCTTACGGTCGGTGAAAGTGAAAAAGGAGATAAATAGGCAACCGCGGTAGCAGCTTCACAGCAAACGGGTCAGCCCATAGTTGCTCTGTTCCGTGCCAACGGAAAACACACAGGTTGTCCACCACGGTGTATAATGCAGCCGTCAGTAGTGCCCACACAAACAGTCTGACACAAAGTATGCAGCTCACCGTTAATGGAAGCAGGTTCAACAGATCAGTAAATGCACACTCATGTTCATCACCTTACATGTTTCACACAGCTGTTGTATTTACCCTCCTCCATTCCCCCCACCCCTCGGAACCATATAGGAAGTCTTCCAGTGAATTTGAGCCTTTTAACATTTACCCTTTGGAAAACGTTCAAGGGGCATGAGCTCCCATCTCACCCCAAGCACTCCCATTTTATCTTTGTGTCGGCTCCACTGGTAAGGACATTCTTCTTCTTATTATTATTTTTAATATTATTATTATTGTTCACCGGCTGTAAATTCCGGCGGAAAGTTTTTGTTGTTCGTACCCTTCTGTACCAGTGTCGAGGCGTAATCAATTCGCACGTGTAAATGGTTCAGATAAACCTTAGCTTTAGCAGGTAACGATTATACTGGAGAGTGTATCATGTGATATTTTCCTTTATGTCGCTTCGCTGTTGAGAGTATGCGCGCGCGACATTTACTGCATGGGTGGCGCAGGGATGCAGCAAGCGTCTCTTTTCGCTTGTTAATACTGTTAAAAAGAGTTAAGCGCTGAACGAGACATAAAACAGGTGGCGTATTTGCAAACAGTTAAAAAACAATAACTATATTTCTGTTGCAATTGAAAATATAGGTGAAGATTAAAATCGTTACATACATGCATCGCCACTGACCTAAATACCCGCCTAGCGGTCCGAGGATGCCGGATTCGAACCTGCAACAGATGGAATCTGGAGAGAACTAAATTACCTTGGATCCCAGCCAGACCCAACCTTAAATCTGATGGGAAGTAAAGCCAGCTAGTGTGAGTGCCGATTCATCATCATCCCGAAAGATTACGTGTTGTTGCATCACCAGTTTCTGTTAATCGTCTGATCAAGTCCCTACTCATCTAAGTGTCAGATGTGATGGATTTCATGGTTATTTGGCTACGGCCTGTCCAGTCAGTAAAGACCTGGTTATAGCTCTCTTGTTCTTCCTCTTCTTCTTATTTTATCTTCGTCATGTCCCTTGTGGAATGCCAGGGGCCGCAATATAGCCTCATGGTTGAAAGCGGTTTCCTGAACCTTTTCACAGGTGATCCTTATCCGCATGGTGGCACTTTGTGTCATCTGGTGTTTATCGCTCGTTTTGATGTACTGGTGGCATACAAATTTACTTAATTTACTTACCTTTTCTTCTCTTCCTTTCTACTGAGCCTTGTTTTATTATTTTTGAGAGCCAGCCAGATTTTATTAAATGCCCGTATCATTGCATTTTCTTCCTCTCCAATGTGTCGACTGGCCTATGAAAACTTTAGCGTAGCATCAAATACTCTATGCACCGTTGGCGTAAAAAGTGTCATTCACTCAGGCCTTTTCTTATGACCCACACTGTGTTCGGTTATAGCTTGACGACGTTCAGCCACACTGTGTTCCGTTATAGCTTGACGACGTTCAGCCAAACTGTGTTCCGTTATAGCTTGATGACGTTCAGCCAAACTGTGTTCGGTTATAGCTTGACGACGTTCAGCCACACTGTGTTCCGTTATAGCTTGACGACGTTCAGCCACACTGTGTTCCGTTAAAGCTTGACGACGTTCAGCCACACTGTGTTCCGTTATAGCTTGACGACGTTCAGCCACACGATGTTCCGTTATAGCTTGATGACGTTCAGCCACACTATGTTCCTTTTATAGCTTGATGACGTTCAGCCAAACTGTGTTCCGTTATAGCTTGACGACGTTCAGCCACACTATGTTCCGTTATAGCTTGATGACGTTCAGCCAAACTGTGTTCCGTTATAGCTTGACGACGTTCAGCCACACTATGTTCCGTTATAGCTTGATGACGTTCAGCCACACTGTGTTCCGTTATAGCTTGATGACGTTCAGCCACACTGTGTTCCGTTATAGCTTGATGACGTTCAGCCAAACTGTGTTCCGTTATAGCTTGACGACGTTCAGCCACACTATGTTCCGTTATAGCTTGATGACGTTCAGCCACACTGTGTTCCGTTATAGCTTGACGACATTCAGCCAGACCGTGTACCTTTGAAGCTCGACTATGTTCAGTTACACTGTGTT